TTAATACTTAATACTTAATACTTAATACTTAATACTTAATACTTAATACTTAATACTTAATACTTAATACTTAATACTTAATACTTAATACTTAATACTTAATACTTAATACTTAATACTTAATACTTAATACTTAATACTTAATACTTAATACTTAATACTTAATACTTAATACTTAATACTTAATACTTAATACTTTAATACTTAAATATTAAAATCTCCCATAGTTAACCATTTTAGGATTGACAACAGCCAATGACTCTCAAATTAATATAAAAAAAATGTAATTGATCTTAAGGAAGCCTCAGGGCTTAGGCTGCTACTGAGAGCGTCGGCAGGTGGCGGATGGCCGAACGGCCTGCAACGATATTTCATCCTGCAGGTTATCACCGAATACCCAATAAGGTGATGCTAACCAACCTCCTAATCCAAAGGTGTCACGTGATCCGTGCCGAAAGGATGCATGGTGGCGGGGGAGCGCCACTGCGAACGGAGCCTCCGGGAAACCAGGCGACCTCCCGGCAGTAACTAGCCTTGCTGCGGCATGCGGAGCTGTGCCGTGGTTGACCACCCTATCCCTAGCTACTCGTGGGATTTGTATGGATGACAGACAAAAAAAACAATGACGACAGGGACAATCCCCTCGATCGCCAGGAATCTGGCGATGAACCGATGGAGGTTTCTTCAACCCCATCAAACAACGTCATTCCGGAGGAGATGGAGGATGCTTTACTTGCATCACCCAACTCCAACCTTAATGAAACTCAGGGGGAGAAAAAGGAGGCACCAACCTCCTCAAATAAACCTGAGAGGCACGTCAAAAGGTTCGTCGGAGCGACCAGAAAGCGCCTCAAAATGATGCTTAAGCGCGGTATTGACTATCAATCCGCCCTGAAGCAGACCCTCAAAGAGTTGGAGGGAGTGGTAAACCACCCCTCTCGAGTCCAACTAAACAATCTAGATAACCGGTGAGGGAACAAACCCCACCAAAGGAGTCTAGAACCAAACGTCAATGCTCCGACGGCAGCACTCCTAAAACGGAACTTAAAAAACTCCGTAGAGATGCCGTAGTCGAGCCGAAATGATCATCCAAGGCCAGGGCACAGAGTATTCTAGTGGGGATTATTTATCCAGAACACCCTGACGTCCAGCTTTCGAATGAACAGCTGCAAGCTATACAGCTCTCAATCATGAGAACTGTAGAAAGGCAACCTGTGGACAGACCCCAAATCCGTTTCCAGAGCTGCACCCTCAGATCATGTCATCTCCTTCTGGACTGTGCCGACGCTACAATGGCTCGGTGACTAGAGGGAGACATGGACAAACTTCGCCCATGGAATGACGTACGTCTAAAGTTGGTGCAAGGTAAGGAAATACCCAAGCCGTTCATCTGCGTGGTGTACATCCCTGACGAGGATCCATCGGATTAACATGGAAGCAGGTAAGAAAGCGGTTCAGGATAATGAACCGAGGCCTGCGAACCCAGGAGTGGAGCTGTCTACACCGGGTAGCCTCAGGCCAGCTGGGTTACACCTGCACGTTTTCCATTGACGATGTCTCGATGACAGAGTTGGAACGGATGAACTTCCGGCCCTACTTCAGCTTCGGACTGGTGCAATTCCGGCTCCGAAATCGCAGAGGCGCCGCGGAGAGAGTCCCAACAACAGACTCTCAACAGATGCCGTCTGTCTCGGGAACTTCGAGTAGGGTCGCCAAGGACGCAGGACGTAAAAAGATCTCTACTGCAGCCGAAGTGGCTAACAAGAGGATCCCTGGACTTGCGAAACCTCATTGGAGGCCCGCCTACTCAAAGGACAAGGAGAAACAAATCCTGTCCAAGTGAGCAGTGCGTAAAGGTTCCAAAAGCAAAGGGAAGGGAAATAAGGAGAATAGGAGCGAGAAAAAAGATCCTCCTCCACCTCCTCCACCTCCTCCACCACCACCCCCTCCCCAATCCCTCCCACTCACTAACAATGAGCAAGCTGATGCTCTTTCTCCAGGCAAATCTCGACCAAGCCCAAGCGGCTTCATACGTCCTTGGCAGGAGGTTTGCGAAAGAGAAACTAGACATCGCTTTTATCCAGGAACCCTGGATTTCCAGCAACGGCCGGATAAGCGGCCTTGGAAACTGTTCGGGTAAGTTGGTAGCCGGTAACTCTCCGGACAAACCAAGAGCATGCCTTCTTATCAGAAATAATATAAAAAAAATTATGTTAACAAGTTACTGCACCCCCGATGTGGTTGCAGCCCAGGTCTCGATCCCGGTGGGGAACAACAGCTCTGCTTATTTCCCGGGAGACTCAGGTCAAGACCAACCTCCTCCTCCAGCGATAGTGCGAGAACTAGTTGCCTATTGCAAGAGGAACAACAAGCAGCTCGTCATTGAATGCGACGCTAACGCCCACCTCAGGGACTGGGGAAGTACCGACATCAACACACGAGGTGAGCAACTTTATAATTATATAATCGGTGAAGGGCTTATTGTTAACAACGTAGGTTCGGAACCAACTTTCGTGACGAAAAATCGTGCGGAAGTTCTAGAGGCATAACAATCAGTACGTCGTTTGTGAGTGCCAATATTGTTAGCTGGAGGGTATCCATCGAACCCTCATGACACATCAGATTTGACATGAGGACGGATCGGATACCTACCTTCAATTCCGTGACCCTAAAAGCACAAACTGGAGTGGATACGAAAAGTCCCTCCAGGAGGGGCTTGAAAACGTAATTAAAACTATTAAGAATAGCGCAGAGATTGAAATGGCGAATGATCAAATTCAAAATGCCCTTATTACTGCCTATCAGGAACACTGCCCACTAAAGGAGAGAAGAGATCTGAGGGGTACTCCATAGTGGAGCAGAGGCTTCGACCAAAAAAGAAAAGAAGTTCGACATCTCTTCAATCGAGCTAAAGAATTTGGCTGCTGGGAAAAATACCTCAAATCTCTAACGGAGTACAACAAGGCTATCAGAAAGGCCAAACGAGAATCGTGGAGGAAGTTCTGTCAGAATACATCAGATTTACCTCCAAGTACCAGACTTCACAAGATTCTCGCCAAAGATCCGAGACAGGATATATTCCATAAAATATAAAAATGACCCCCTATAAAGTACCCACCCCAGATGTTCCGCCTGATTAAAGCCATATTGTCCACATTCAAGCAAATTATACAAGCATAGCCACATCCATAAATAAGCTTGAATCTCGAGGCATTGAAACAGTTAAAAATTTAAAATCTTCTATTGCACAGTGTTAATGGAAAATAATCTTACACGAAAATTTAGATCAATTTTACTAAATAATAAAGCATTTCTACGAAGGCGTAGAAGGGCCACATAATATAATTTTTTTTTATTTCGACTTTAAAATCGAAATTCCAACTTTAATCTCGAAATTTCGACTTTAATCTCGAAATTTCGACTTTATTCTCGAAATTTCGACTTTAAACTCGAAATTTCGACTTTATTCTCGAAATTTCGACTTTAATCTCTAAGGGTAAGTTCGGTTTGGAACTCGACGGATCGGACAGAGCGCGCACGGAGTTCGCTCTTTTTACAATCTCAAGACGAACACAACGGGAATGACAAATGACACTCTAGTGATAGTTTACACTTGAATACACTTTTGTGTGCGGAATGGACTGTAAAAAATTAATTTTAGTCAAATAGGAAATAGTTATAACAAAAACAAACAAGTAATAATACGTATAAACTGATTAAGTCATAGATTAGAATATTGACGTTTGACATTTTTGACACATTCCTACAGATACCCGTTGATCTCCACCGGCCAACTCTGGGAAGAGTGAGCGCGCTCTGAGTACGTGATCTGTGGCAAGCCGAACACAAAAGAGAACGCTCTGAGTGCCAAAACGACCACAATTGAGGCGTACCGAGTGCACTCCGAGTACAGCGAACGCCAAACCGAACTCAGCCTAAATTTCGACTTATTTAGAGATTAAAGTCGAAATTTCGAGAATAAAGTCGAAATTTCGAGTTTAAAGTCGAAATTTCGAGATTAAAGTCGAAATTTCGAGATTATAGTCGAAATTTCGAAATAAAGTCGAAATTTCGAGATTAAAGTCGAAATTTCGAGATTAAAGTCGAAATTTCGAGATTAAAGTCGAAATTTCGAGTTTGAAGTCGGAATTTCGACTTTAAAGTCGGAATTTCGACTTTAAAATCGAAATATTTTTTTTTACTATGTGGCCCTTCTACGCCTTCGTACATTTCAGACATTAGAGGGCATAAATAATGTTTTATCTAGCAACTTTAATAATAAATTGGATTCAAATATTTCGCCACTTTTAATTTCAAAATTTAAATATGCACCTATAACGTCTTGTGAAGTGGAACGTTGATCCTAATATATTTTACTGCCTTTGGAATAGGGTAGTCCATAATGGCTTCAATTTTGTTTGGATTGGGTTTTATTCCATCATAAGAAGTTAACTGCGTTCTTCAAGAATTCACATTTATCTACTTGGACTTTGTATTCAGTTCCTCGTAGTCGTTGGAATATTCTTGAAAGGTTTACCATGTGTTCATGCAATGATGTGGGAAAGTTTATTATATCGTCCATGTTAATTAAGCATATTTCTCCTTGAAGTCCTTTATGAATGTCAAGTGGTTTACGAGGCAAAAAGTTTGAGGAACTTTGATATAGACTTTAAAATACGTGGTACTACACTGGTAAATTCGTTTGATTTTTAATTATATTTTATTGTTTTAATGAAATTGTCTATTAGCGATACTGCTAATGAACTTTGGGTTTTAATTGAGTTTTTTTAGTTTATTTTGGTTTAATTGAAGCTGTTCAGTAATTTTCTCATTATATTATCCTTCATTGACATCATCTAGATTTCCAATCATTGCTTTAAATATGGAATCTACTCCATTTATTAAATCTCCTTTTATCCTTTGGTGATGCGATAAAATTTAATTTAATCTAATCTCTATTTTATCTATTAAAAAGTGTAGCAATTAAAAATAGTTACAGTCTGAAAGTTAAAGGGCGTTTTATTTATTTATTTATTTATATAAAACAGAAAAATAAACAAGAGTATGTATTTTATTTTGGCCTTTCTGGTATACTCGCGGACCCACTCGCGGTGGGGGTCTTCTTCGAGAATCGCTGCAGGCCGAAAGAAGCCCCGAGTGTCGTCGTCTTTGTCGCCCCGACGTCCTTTCCAACTGCCTCCGGCGATTTGATTTCCAACAGGACGGTTAGTTAGTTTAGTTCCTATTGCGCTGGCTCGCTTTTAATACAGCGAAACAAGAAGTCTTCATTGAATCATTCATTAATTTTATTATCATCAACGCGCAATGAGGGAAATCGTGCACTTGCAAGCTGGTCAATGCGGAAACCAAGTTGGTGCAAAGGTTAGTGTCATTTTTTACGATTTAAAAAGTTTTTGATAATAACAGATTAATTTTAAATGTAAAAAACGTAAAAAAAATATTTTTATGTACTGGGTGTTTCATAATTATACCGAAAAATTTTTAGGTGTGGTATGAGACATCAAAGTAAACATTTTTTTTGCTTAATAAACATACAGAGTGAATCAAGCTCATGGATTTGATATCTTTCTTGATATTAAAAAAAAATGTATTAACAAAATTTATAGGATGGCTAGAGGGCCACATTTTAAAATTACATAGATGTATACAGGGTATTCCATGACAGGTACGAACCAAACATTTAATTTTTAAACCAGAACACCAGTTTATTATTTTAGATTTAGATTACTCTCATTTTTTCCATTCGCCTAATATATAGTTAGTTTAGATTATACAGGGTACATAAAAAAATTGGCATTTTGCATTTTTAAAATCAACGCCTTATAGAAAGTTACATACTATGGAAAAAATAATTTTTTAATGTCATATACTTATTACACTTTTCTTTGATAACGTTTTTATTCTATGCTTATTAGTATTAGGGTGTCTCAAGACTCGGACTAATGTTATATGAGGTCACTTTGAACAACTTTTATAATTTTGTTCAAACATTTAGCATTTTGTTTGTTTTTTTATGTCCCACGTATTATTTTTTAAAGTGTTTAAAAAAAACTAGTGTTATTTATAAATATAACCTTAATATTGATATTTATTAACTGCTTAATAAAAATAGAAGATTTTTTTTAGAGAAATCTACTGATATTAACAAATATAGGGTGTCCCATTTAAATAAAACATGAACATCAAGGGTCCGAGTATTGAATCACCTCGTGTACTAATAAGTATAGAATAAGAACGTTACTAAAAAAGAGTGTAATACGTGATATTCAAATACTCGTGTACCTAAGTAAAAAAAACTATTTTTTTCACAATAAGGATGGAAAAAATAATAGTAATCCAAATCTAAAATAATAAACTAAATTTCTAGTTAAAAAAATATATTTGATTCGTACCTGACTCATGCAACACCCTGTATATCTCTATGCAATTTTAAAATGTGGTATTCAAGCCAATCTACAAATTTTGTTAATATTTTTTTCATATCTCTTACAAAAAGGATGATATCGATCTTTTCAATAAGATTGGTACACACTGTATATCCGAAAACGTTTCATTTCCGAAATAAAGGGAATTTTATACAAAAATAATGAAAAATAATAAAAAAAATTAAAATACAAACTTTTGCATGGCTTTAAAGTATCTAAAAATACAACTCATAACAAGAGAGACAGGAAAAAATCAAGGAACAAAAGTGGATGAATAAACAAACGTCCAATTATAAAAAAGTAAGAATTCCATAATTTTATATTGACTTATTAAAAATATATTCTCAATCTAAAATAAAGTATACATATAATTTTTTAAAAAACTGCTTTCTTTCATAAAATAAATCTTTTTTTAATTTATTTAAATGTATTGAACATTATTTAAAAAAAAATGTATATCATAAAAAAATGTACTACCTACAGAAATATAAATATTTATAATTGAATAAATATATATTAATAGGGGTATTTTTGAATTATAAATGTTATCAACCCGTCACTGATTTATTTTGTATGAATTATTGTAAATAAATAATTTTGGTAAGATATTATGGATATTATTACTATTTTTAATTGAGATATACAATTATGTACATAGTGGAAACTTCTGTCCTGTTTTTTCTTATAACAAGTCGTGACAACATAAAAAGATTTATTACCGCCAATAATTAAAATCTAATTACAATTACACGAAAATAAACATTCCCAAAACAGAAACACTTATCGACGAACATTTTTCAAAGTTTTCTTCTTCGAAGTGGAATATATAAAACTTCTGTTTGTCGTATTTTATTCATTTAATGGCTGAAACCTTTAAAAGGCCAATAAAACTAAACGAATGTAAACAAAGTAACAAGTCAAGACGTTAAATTATTACAACCAAGATACATTCATGGTCTAATGGTTGCATTTCAGGTTTCAATTTAATTGTAATCTAGACCACTTCAGAACATTAGCTTTATTTAGAGGTTAACATCTCAATATGGGATTTAAATACGGGTAAGGAATGGATTGACTTCATTTTTATTTGTTTATAGCACTGTCTTACTCAGAGCCCTTCAATTGATGATTATGACACTGACGAAAAGAGAAATATCATAAGATTAAGGTAAAAAGTAATAGTGTTTTATAAGGCGATTTTTTCATATCAATATAAAATGATTCATATTTATAACTATGACAAGGAGTTTACTTATTATTATAATTATTATTTACAATTCGCTGGTTGAATATGTAATCCAAAATCGTATAATTAAAATTATCTACAAAAAACCAGCATTATATCCTACCTCTGTTTCTTTTATATAATAAAAAAGTGCTTTGTATAAGAACATTATATTATCTGTCTTGCTGTACCTTTATTTATGGAAAGTCTGAATTGAGATACACTACAAATTATTTACAATAAATATCAAAAGAAGCATACATTTTTAAATAATTTGACATTTAAGAGCCATTCACACATCACAGTTGACATCTTGATACTTGACAAGCACAGCCAAGCATTATTCTGATTTTTGCCAAATAAAATGGTCGGTTAATTATTCTATGGGGTTGCGACAGAGAGCCAGTAAATTTGATGAAGTTGTTTTTGTAGCTAGGGGCGAAATAGTAGTATGCTTAAGTTAGCGCCACCATAAAAAATACATTTTTAAGAAACTGCTTACATATTTTTCATAAATTGGCAGGCTTGGCGACTAATTTCGAATAAAAATAGCCTCCAAAATGGCTATGGTTGCAACCCGCCTTAGAAATTTCAACTTTACTATCAACAGCTGTTGTTTGACAGGTCGTTAGAGAATCTTTGCAATTTATGGAATATTAAAAATGTTAGAAATGTTGACGTTAGAAATAATTGCAATTCCTAAAATTGTTGCATAAGAAATGCATAGGCGGATTTTAAGAAAATTGATATTAAAGTAGTTAGCATGAAACGAAAATTCTAAAAATCAATAGGGTTCTAAGTTAGAAGTAATTATTCAAGAAAATCAAAACCGAAGTCAATAAGAACTTCCGTTGTAGAGTTATCGTGCCGGCATACATACACACAGATGACCAGACGGAATTTTTTTTTGCATTTTCGGAAACACGAAAAAAAAAAAGGTTTAAAAAATGGGGGTAAGAAATTTTTTTCGTCTGTACGAATGTAATACTGAAGCCCCATAGAAAGGGCCTTAGTAATTTCTTAAATAGTTTTGATATCACAGGTAAAAGCGAGATTGGTCTATATGATTTTATTTCATTATTGGATTTTTCGCAGTTTGGTTATCATTATTACCTCAGCAGTATTCCAAAGTTGAAGTCTAAATGCTGCATTTATTATATTGGTCAGTGTTACTAAACCTTTTCGTGGTATTTTCCTTAGTATCTCTCTTGTAATCAGATCGAACCCGAAAACTTTTTTATATTAATATTACTTTATATTTCTCTTTGTACTTTTTTAGGACTAGCTAATAATATTTTCTCTACGTATATCAGTAACTTCTTCTTGGTTAACCATTTCAATTTCTTCACCTTCTCCTGGGTTCGGCTGGAAGATACAAAAGCATCAACTTTTTGTTTACAACTTTTTGAACACGTCCCATTTTCTGTTCATATTGGGGGTATGTGGTGAATTGGTTTGTTTATTTTTTTGACAACTTTCCATAATGAGTAATCAGCGATTTGGTCATCTGTGAATTCTCTCAGGTATTTGTTGGTTGACTTACATTTTTCTATCTCTCTTCGTAGTTGTTTTTGTTTTCAGTTCTCATTTTTTGCCACTCCTTTCAAATTTTTCGTCTGTTTCGTATTAAATCCCTTATTTCTTTGAGGTAATTAATACCTATGGGTTTCGTTTGATGTATTATTTCATGCAGTTTGTTGGATATCAAACACAAATATTTATTGTTTCTCGTATTCAAATTTTTTCACTAACTTCAAGTTGAAATCTTTCTGTACATTTATTCGTCATATTTAGGAAAGTAAGTTGAAACAACAATCAAGAAGTAAGTTTGGTATTAAACTTCCGGAATAATTAGTCATGATAAAATGTTGTTTATTATTAGAATAGCAAAGAACATATAAACAAAGCATGTAGATAAATATGTGACACATCTGTTTTTAAATTTTACACATTGTTTGCATCGAAAAATATGAAAACGAATCATTTTTTTAAAGGATTTTTTTCTATCTGTTGGTTAGTTTCAAATTCCATTTATTATGATTGTTGTACTGGTCAATTTTTACCTGAAGAAGATCGGAAGCACTTATTTACCAATTTAGATAATATGGTAAAGTAACCGTTAGTCCCACGGCCTAACAAGAATTTGGTACAAACACAAATTCCTTTAAAATCGTAAAATGTTCAGTATTTTATATTGTACAAATATTCAATATTTTAGGTTAGTACAAATTCTCAATTTTCATAACAATTACAAAAGCGTGATACATTAAATGTCCATAAACATAATGGAAACTTTTTTTTTAAATATATTGGGTTACAATCATAATTATTCAACCTAAAGATAACCAAAAATCATAAAAATTTAAAACAAGCGATGACAAAATCAAAGGTAGATTAGATATTGAAAGTTATTTTCTACCTCTCCTATTTTTGTTTTAGTTATGCCTGTTGCGTTATTAGATAAGGGAGTAGTTGTTTTCTGGAGGGAAACGGTCGGCTCTTATTATGTGACACTGGCTAATAATTTAAAGATATTTACAGACATCTGGCTTCTACTCTTCCTGGCTTCTACTTTTTTATGTATATTTTTTGTTAGATATAAGCAAACAGTAATTTAATATTTAGTATATACGATACAACATACAATTTTTTTTCTGTAGAAAATAGTCTGTTTTAATAATAATAATAATTATTATTAAATATATAAAAAA